AAGAACACGGAGATCTGTATGTTTAAAGTGCAACTCTTGTCGAAGTTTGAACGCAATGTTATCAATCGTGTAATTTAACCTGGCGAAATTGAATAAATAAATAAATACTTTCCAAACAAAGAACTTGCTTAGTTGGTTCGGCTTCAGTACAGTATGTTGTTATGAAATGCGCTATTTTATAGAACAACAAATTCCAAACAAGAAAGAAATGCAATGAAACTCGAGGATCTTCGTTCGAGTTTCCGTTGAAATTATCAACTTTGCTTCTATGGCCTGGCAGCATGTGAATTACAAAAAGAACACAAACGCGCGCATAATTATCAATTTGACAAGAAGTATTCCTCGAAGTATTCAATACAAATTATACAATGACAAATTGCGATATAAAGTGCTCTCAAATTACACTTTTTGCAATTCAAACCAATACGTCCGCACCTTACCAAGGAATTTTACTATTGCAAAGTGGAAGCATTGTAATTTAGATTTGTCCATCCCTCCCTTGGTAATTTAATATCCTGGGAGCCAAGTGACCAGCCGGCACCAGGGTCTTTCCGCAGCTTGGGGCGTGCGAAGGTAAGAGCCTGGGAACGAGGTTGCGTGATCGGCAAACTCCTTTTCCACCAGTTTCAGGGCTGACACAAACTCCTCTTTATCCCCCAGGGCTGGGGAGATGGAGTAAATGACCTTACCGAACTTGTTGTTCTTGTTCGCTCCATAGGACAAGCAGTCCGCAAGTTCTAGTAGAAGTGGACCCTGGTCCTTTGCCGTTAATTTAATCTTTTTGGACCCGTAACTGTTTCCGACGGCATCTTCGAAAGCGAACGAGTCTTTGGAGAAGTCTCAAAGTTTGGTGACGTCATAAGTCACGTGACGTCATAAGTCACGTGATTCAAATCTGCGCAGTGGGAGGCTTTGGGATGCTTTGGGAGGCTTTGGAGGCTTTGCGGAGACTTAGGCAATACTTCGGTAAGACTTCGGAAAGACTTCTGTAAGACTTTGGGGAAACTTCGGTAATACTTCTCAAGACGGAGGGTGGCGGGTTTTGCGCATGCGTGGTGGAGCTTTTGTGGTTGTGTGGTGGAGGAGTGGTGATGTCATAGGTCACGTGGTGGTGACGTCATAGGTTACGTGGTGGTGACGTCATAGTTTTTGGACAATTCTGGGCAAGCCTGATTGTGGAAAACCGGAAGTGACGTCATCAGATGCGCGTAGGTGGTGCGCAGTGGTGGTTAATTAGTCTTGTCTAAAATTATCCATTATTATCCATAGCTATCCAAGCGGACCAAAATTATCCCTTATTATCCCTAAATATCCTACTGAGCCAGAACCCGCCATTCCCTACTACTAATTATAGAATCATATATTTAAAACAAACTTACCTTCGTTAACGTCGGCTCCCTTCTTTTAGCCAATTCTTTTGCCCTTTCTTTCTTGAAATTTACAAAATCTTCCAAAAATGCAAGCAAAAATGAAATATATTTGCAAGAAATTTATCAATCACCAAATCAAGAAATGTTTGCTATTTCGCTGTCGTGATGCAGTCGACTGTCGTTATAATGCAAACTTTAAATTCGACCAATCAGTGTCCGCTATTCATGAAAGTCCGGCATATGTTTTGAGATCAGTGAGGATGACCACCCACCACCCACTACCCACCAAACCACTCACGGTAACCCACGCCCACGCTAAATTGACGAACTTTAGACTAGGCTAATGCTTTCGTTTCCCCGAGTGTAAATAGCCGGTGGGAATTAGTACCCTCGCTCCGCGCTTTGCGCCGTCGGTTCGGGGACTAGGGGCTATACTAACGATATAATTGATAATGCATTTAATAAAGCTCTACAATACACTCAGTCCAATCTATTAATTGACGAAATTCAGGAAAAAATGAATAAGACTGTTCGGATTGATGATAATTCTACTAACCAATGTCCAACTAATGAACCTAATAGTAATAAACACATACTAACGTTCTTAGGACCATATAACACTAATACCACTCATATAGGATCTATCTTGCGTAAATACAGGCATCTTATTGACTAAGACCCATCACTAAAGCTTTTATGGCCAAAACCCCCTTTGGTTTCCTACAAACGCAACCATAACATTAAGGATCGGATAGTGTATTCCAAGCTCTCAAATAATTACCGATAACGAAATTAACCGCAGAACTAACAATACATCTGACAGTGGATTCGATATTATGAGATACTTTAATTTTATTGGAGTTCCGTCATTGGTCGTAGAAATTCTGGATATTTTGGCCATACTTTTACAACAGAAACATCGCGTTTTGAAGAATAATGTATAGCACTTTCAATAACATCTGTCAATGACCAGAGAAAGGACATGTTGCGTACTTAATAAAAATATTTAATCATCTTGATTGGCACTTGAAAAGGATTAACATTGACGTCCACAACCAATTTTTATCATAACCATCCTCGGCATTTACTGTGGCATTTCCAACTATAACACCTTCATGAAACCACTCGAATATACTCAGAAATCATTCAACCTCACCATATGTCTACAGTTGACAATAAAGATATACGGTAGGCTGATGTCCTCGGACATACCTTATATATGTTTGAATAGTAGTCAATAGCAATAGTTTTAATAATTCCTTAACCAAGTTCTGCGTGGGTCCTTTATACATGTTCAAACAGAGTATTGCATGCTGAGTAGCGCGTCTTACTTTATAACCTATAACGGTAATTGTCAACGCAGGATATTCCATGATATTTTTATTCCTAGTTTGGTTCATACATTATTTATGCTAGTTGTTTCAGTCCAAAAAGCTTGCTTATGTTCTTAATACTAAAATAACAAACCGGTTTAACATTGAAACCGATGGCGAGTTGAAACGTATTCGTGACTATCCCTTAATCTCCGAAAGTTTTTGGACGGAATGGTCCTTGAAACGCAGCAGGAGAGTCTATATTAATGACATATTGATGTCTTTCGTTGCGACGGTCATACTAAGAAGATACTTCACCTGCCAGCAGCCCAGCAGCCAGCAGATACTTGCAGATGCGAAGCACCAATATTAATTCCGCCAAACCAGCCGTCAACTCCCATGTAGTACATAACTTACCGTACAGTTATACGCCAACTATGCTACTCGTACGCTGAATTGGAAAAAAAAACTAGGACCTACCGAATGAGGATTTCCAGAACAAAGAAATTTGCCATTAATTCGTAGTGAATTAATGATAAGCAATAAACGCCAGTTGACCCCTTATAGATTAATTACATATGTTTCTATATTTATTGCATTAACAATATTTTCGTATGATTTTTTTCAACCTGTTAAAACCACAACAACTGAACAATTTATGTATTGAAGACGATATTACAATAATATAAATTTCTTCAGACATTTTCTGATAGTGATTAAAGAGATTACAGTTAAATTGATTAATAGAGAGATTTGATTGACGTAAAACTGATGGTAAACAGTTCAATGTCCTTGAAGATCTGCAATAAAAACTGTTTTGAAATGTTAAAGTAATTGCACGGGGAATTTGTAATGTAATTTGAGCTGTTCACATGGCTAGAAATCCAATACAGTATGGCGGAAAAGCATGCGTGCAGAGCGCAAATTAAATAAATTCAAAATGGCGCCAATGTATAGAATTGATAAAGGAAAAATTATATTTCTGATTTTTTGTTTCATAACCTTTCAAATTCTCAGATGTGCACATCTAAAACGTCATTATATAACACAAATATTAACTAGAACAAATTTCGCGACAAATTGACAAGGCTAAATGAGTTCCAAGAAATTTTAACAGAACGTCCTTTTGATAATACTAAAGGTTCGAGGCGAATAGGACTAGTTTGGGAATGAATCGTCGACAATTTAAATTCAAGAGCAGATATAGTCTTCAACTTGAAGGACATCAGGGCTGTACGCGATCGCTATAACTTGTTAGCAAAAAAAATACAAAAAGAAGGAGAGAGAGGAAATTAATGCTTCGGGCATTGGCACCGATGAGCCAAGTGAGCTTGAAGACGCCATTGAGGAAGCTGTTGCTCTTTTTGAGAGTCAAGAAGAGGAACGAGAAAAGGAAAAAAACTGCTAAAAATGAGGACAGAAGTCAAGCAGAAGATGCCAAACTGGTCGCACTTGAAACTGCTCGAGAAACAGCAAAAAGAAAAGCATGAGGAAACGATTCGTTCAGAGCCAAGAAAACAGCTATTGTAGAATTTCTAAGAGATAAAGCGAATCAGGATATTGAGTATAGAAATAAAGAGCTTGAACATAAACCTAAAGAACTGGAAGTTCGAAAGCAAGAGCTACAATCCTGGCAAAAATTATGTGGACACCTAACCTTTGCAAGGTTAATATTAACATTGAGACGTTCTTTCATGAAATTTGTCGCCCCCTGCCCCCTATTCAATGTTGTTTCTCGCATTCAAATTTTAAAAGTTTCATTTACCAAAATACCAACATTGAATTGGGGGTAGGAGGGGGAGAAATTTTCTGGCGGATTAATTATGTAGAAATAGATCTATTTTTGTTTGACGCACTCGCTGTCCACGATAATTTTTGCCAGGATTGTAGCAATAAGGAGCAAGGAGCTTGAAGCACAAACTCAACAAAATCAAAACTTGTTGAACATTTTGCTTGAATTTGCAAAATATCGTTAACTGTACAAGAACTGTAAGTACATTCCTTTATGTGTTTGACCATTCTTCATGTTTATTGAATACGGACAGGGTACTTCTGGCCTTTGAATTTTGTTTGGATATTTTACAGGACAAGTTGCATGCTATACTTTATTACATTAATATTTTTATAGTTGTATATGTAAATTGAAAATAAAAGTTATTTGTTCAGAAAATTTAATTTTGAATTACTTTTGATTCTGGTTGTATGGATCCAATTTATAAACAATAATTATATCTTTCACGCAAATGCAATGTTACAATACTGTTGTCTTGCAATATACTATGTTTTATAGAGTATTGTCATTAATTACATGTGGACACTATGCATCAGCTCTCCAGAAGTAGTTTTCTAGTGTTGGTGGGTTGATTTCAAAATATTCTGATACAATGTTACCATACAAGCAAGCTAAACTATTTTGCAATATGGCAGATACAATGTAAATTTTCCCAATAAGACTTAACCGTATTTTAAGTTGTTGCTTAAAATCTACAAACTTAAAATAGTTGGTTATTTCTCCAAATAACCATTCCACACTGACTCGTACACTGCTCATTGCCTTGTTATATTGCCTCATATCTTCTGTTAATTCGGCATTATTTCGGAATGGTTGCTGGAGGTGGACCCTCAATGGGTAGGCTGGGTCACCATATAGACATAATGGGGTGCCGTCTGGTGCAAATGCATCCTGCCTGAGGTCTTGCATCAAGCCTGACTCTCCAAGTATACGTGCATCATGCATTCTTCCCTCTAAAGCAAAGCAAAACAAAATATATAATTAAATT